TTTGGATCTTTTTTAATAGGATTGTTTTAATTTATTTTTATTTTTAAATTAAATAAAAAATCAAAACAAAATGATTGATATTATAAAAAATCATGGGGAGTGGAGATCCCCTGAGGATAGAGATAACCTTATCCCCATTAGCGAGGATGGGGATGGGGAGAGGCTGCCTGTCCCTACCCCAACCCTGCCCTGTTGCCATTCCTATACCTGATCCATTAAGCTAGGTCATTTAAGATAAATGGATTGAACCCGATTTGGATAGAAAAGGAACTGACCCATACCCAATCCATTTAACCTACCTTCTTCACCCGATCCTGCATATACAGTGTTCACTCGAAATAGCGAACACAACATATGTGAATGGTGTAGTGGTGCTGAAACGAGTGTTTCAACTTTCAAGGGCATAGTACCTTCAGATCAAGTAAATGGATATGAGAAATCTAAAAACAGCCTAAGAAACCATTGGATGTTAGATTGATTTACTTGGGAACAATGGTCGGCGGATGTATGTTGGGATTCAACTGAACTTGGTTTATAGTAAGTAGTTACTAAAACTAATGGATATTTCACTAAGTACTATTAATTTCACTAATAAATTTTGAAATTTATTAATGATTTTGACTAACTACAACTAATTTATTAATAATAATTTACTAATTTGTTATAAGTAATGATGATTATTTATGATTTTTACTAATTTGTGTTAAGTTAATAATATTAAAAAAGGGAAAATTCCCGATCAGTATCTTGTATTTTGGCTTGAGTGACAACTTGATCCCCGAACTTTAAAATGTGACAATCCAGTATCTGCCGTTAATCAATCGTTAAGTGACATTGAAAAGTAAAAAATGCTCTAAGAATACCATCTAATTCTCTTTATCATCCATCCAAACATTGACAATAAAATGAACAATCCTAAATTTTAGATTCTTCTAAATAGTCACCAACTTTTTTTGAGTAGAAGAGGCTAAGATTTGGGATTGTTTAGTTTTTTGTCAACATATGGATGGTTGATAAAGAGAATTAAATGATTTTTGAAGGGCATTTTTGACTTTTCAAATGACACTTGACGGCATATTAACGAGCTCGTTAACCACAGGTATTGGATTGTCACATTTTAAAAATTGGGATACTGGATTGTCGCATTTTAAAGTCAAAGTCAGGGACCAAATTGTCACTCGAGCCAAAATACAGGATACTGATTTGGAAATTTTCCCTATTAAAAATTATTCAAAATTTTCACTAATTACATTATTTAACATTAATTAACTAATCAATGGTTGAATAAACCATTTGGGTAAAAAACGATCCAGGACGCTAGGTAGACCCAGATCATGATAATTCTACTTGGATTTGGTTTCGGGTATGGAGCGATGAACCCAGAAACTAGTATTATACCTTCTTCTTCACCCGTTTTTCGCTATAGTGGTCGCTCGACAAAGCAACCACAGCAGCGAAGAACGGTTCCCTTTCACTATAATTTTGCTATCAAATCAACTCAAATGAATAGTTGGACATTCTTTGTATAAAAACTGACTCAAATAAGATAGGAACACATACCTGGGAAGGTTTTTTTTTATTGTCATTGGAGGAGAGGATTGATTTGCAACATGAGTGAGCTGAGATTAATTTGAAGAACCAAAAGCACCTGAAAAACGAAGAGATGACATATAGCATTTAAATAGTGAGAGATGCACAGTGAAAAAATTAGAGAAAACTGAGAAGTAAACGAAGAAACATCACATGTTCCATCGCTGCAACGTTCTGCCCATATTCCACTCCTATTTCTTTGTCCCAAACAGAGAGAGACGGAAGCAAAAGTACCTGCAAGGTTTACTTATTTTTAATAGTAACCAGAGATTCATCTACCGGTTTGGAAGATTAATAACCAAATCGAACGAAAACCGAATTGAAGACACCAAAATTTGTTGTGCAGCATCTGAAACATAAAATTTCATAATGAGAGAGAATGTGTGAGTAAAATGCAAGAAATGATCAGTCGAACCCATGCTTCAGTCAATTCTCTATCACAATACTTTTGAGAATAGTCAGATCATGTTTTATGGAAAGAAAACATCTCTTGCAAATCTTTAGTTCAGTTGGTTTTCAAAAACACCTACTACTTACCTCTGTTTCTCCAAAGCTGCCGTTTTGAGGAAAGATTAATAGGCCTGATTAAGATTGCAGGAAAAGAAGCATTATCAAGTGATTATAATGTTTGTTGTATTGTGTAAAAAGTTAGAAGAAAAATAAAGGATCATTTTACAATTTGACCTAACGATGCTGCATTTGAATAAGACTGTGATGAGAATGAAGTAAATGTTGAGAAAAGGGAGTGATGAAGTAGCTTTATGAGGGAGAAGGAAGGTCAAAATGAGAGGGACCGAGAGTTCTCTGTCGGAATAACAGAGGAAACTGAGGCCACCTATGTGGCACCTTCTACTTTATTACTCAACGTCTTCAGGGTTTTGGAGAGGATATAAATTGGATATATATTTCTTACATATATTCAGCCTCTGTTGGAGAAGATATAATTGGATTTGGATACATTTTAAGGAGAAGGAAGGTTCAGCCCAGGGTCAGAATCTTTAGGCCCAAAGTACAATTGAGGTGGATGACAGCTCGGAATTGATGCTAATTCATGGATCGACATTAATGTATAAAATGGGGGGTTTTTGACATTTTTATACATCTACAGCGGAATTCAAAAATCTACATTGGATCTGTCCTACTTTTCTATATATTTATCCTCTCTCTCTCATTTTTTAAATAAAATAAAAAGAACTCATGTTGTAGCTTATCCAAGAAATGTGACGGAACCACTGCTTCTGTTGCTAGGACCGTCTAAGGAGTCGTTTGGGAGTGATTATTGGATCAATAATTTAGATAAGTACTCGCAATGTCCTAATAATGTTTGGTGGAGGATGACGAAACCCTAACGGATCATGGGCCCACCCGCATCTGTCCATAAACCATATGTAGGACGAGTGTCATGGCAAATTATCTACTAAGGGTGCATTTGGCATTCCTTATTTTAAGGAATTATCTACTTTTTGCAGTTAAAAGAGATGAGTTTTTAACAATGGAAAAAAAGATATGAGTCCTTAAAATAAGAAATGTCAAATGCAGGTCCGGATGTAGTAAGCATGTTAGGTAAGTATAATGAATGAGCACGTAATAGCTGTGTGACACATGTCCCAGTTAATGTGCCTTTCATCCAAACGATTTTGCTCCGTTAGAAATTATTCATTATTTTATTATCTTTGTCAAAATAATTAAAAATAAAAACAATAAAAAAGGAAAACCTAAATGTATTGGGAGTTGGGACTCATTTACGTTTTCCTTTTTCATTGTTTTTTATTTTTAATTATTTTGACAAAGATAATAAAATAATGGATATTTTCTGTCTAACGGATAAAACGTTTGGATGAAAGGCACATTAACTGGGACATGTGTCACACAACTATTATGTGCTCACTCATTATGCTTACCTAACGTGCCTACTACATCTGAATCCGTCAAATACAGCCTAAATCTAGAATGACATTTTGACCCATATTTGCTAACCAATCAGCTGAATGGTTTCTTTCTCTCCAGACATATAAGCAATGTGAAGATGGTTCTGATCCCTTGATCTTTCACATTTCTTGAATTAAAGAAGCATTATCTCCATGAGGTTCGTCTTTTCCCATATGGCTGTCCACCTGAGATGTTTCTGATGTGCAGCTGGGAGGAGTGCCCTGTAAGAAGCAGATATGGACTTCTTTGTGCTGTTATTGTATGAGCTTCAACTGCTGCCCAACATCCTTGACGCTGCCTTGGTTTGAATTGTGGTATTCCATTGGATCTTTGGCAGCCATTTCCACTATCTTGGCTGGACCTCCAGATTTATCTTAGAAAATTCTCATACAACGTTTTTTCCAAATAAACCATAGAACATAACAGATTTTTTCCTAAAAATTGGGCCAATCTTTGTGAACTTTGTTCTCCTCCATAATCCATAAAGTTTTCATTCTTGTTCATAGGGACTTGAAATACTTCATCCACCAGCATCCAAACTTCCCTTATATGATGACAATCTCGTAGGATGTGATGTGATTCATGTTTTCCACTTCCCAACAAAAGAAACAGTCTCTATTTGGGATTTAAACGAATTGGATCAGATTTAAAAAGGGGTATATCCAAATCCAATGTGATAATACAAACCATAGGTCCAATCCAATCAGATCTCATAAACACCGATTCAAATTCGACCTGAATATGATACAATCCAATTTAATTTTTGAACTTTTTAATAAATTATTAAAAGGAAAAAAAATATAACAATTTATATAAAGAAAAACAAAAAAAAAACAAGTACTTTTTTCAAGTATTTTCATCATATATATACATGTCTATATAAATCATATAAAAATTATGCAAGTCCTAGTCCTACTGATTTGTCATTTGAATGCGTAACCCTTAAATTTGGTTAAGAAGCTTGAATCTGAATTGTTGTTGGGTGATTAGGTCAAGATCCGTGCTAGCGCTAGAGAAGCCTGTAATCAGAAAATGACATGACCAAACACCAATCCAACCTAACCTAACTTGACCTAACCCCATTTTTTTATCGTACAAAGTCTTGTTCTTACACTTGGTCCTTTTGTGATTTAATGGGCAAAGGTCACTAGAAACATTCAATCGTTAATTAAATGCAATAAATGAATAATATTCAGTGCACTTCGATATTTAGACTAATTGATTCACCACCAACGATCAACAAGTAATTGATGTTTGACCAGTTATTATTTCCTTAATTACTTCTTGTCTTAGACCCATATCTGGTTTTCTATCTGAATGCTTGCAAGAAGTTCACAACGATGAATTCATTCCATAATGTTGAAGATTCAGAGTAACTATTAACACACATTTTTCTCTTTTTCTTTTTTTTTTTTTGGTTAAATGTTTTTCTCTTCTTATCAACAAACAAATGTCACCTTTTATCTGATGAACAATCCATGGAAAAGAAAATAAAGTGTGCTACTTAATGGAAACTACAAAACTAAAACAGAAAAATTACAAATAGTAGAATCCAATGGACTCCAAGAATTGGCAAATATTGCAATTTTACGCAGGCAAAACAACCTTGTATAGAAGGATTTAAAGACCCCAATTAAAATGTGAATTGTGACTGGATATGCTTCAAGTCAGCAGCCAACTATTCCTTGATATTCACCAACATCTGCTCCCGCTCTTCCGCTCTATTCCTTCAGCAAAACAAAGAGCAAAACTGGACCAATTAAACCGTTGAAGTCTAGCAGAAAGAAGCATGAAATGGATACTCTGTCAATTAAACCCACCCGTCTATGATCTCCACCCCAATCTGAACTGCAACTTATAAAATAACACAACCACAGCTGTTCTGCTTTTGATGATACGATGCTTTCTTCTCTGTTTAATTTAAAAGACTCGTGGCTAATCATGAAATCATGGAACTAAAGAATTAAGAGGCATAAGGGGAAAACAAAAAACAAATACAGGGTATGCTTAATGATCATCCAAAGAAAAAAAAAAAAAATTCCCCACTTTGCCAAAAACATCAGACTGACCATACACAACACGAAAGGAACTTAGAAAGCTCAAATAAGGGGAAGAGTACGTTAAAAAAGTGAAGAATAAAGGTCCATCTGCTGATAGCTAGAAATGTTCAGTTTGGTCTTACTCTATTCAAAGAACGCCATTGTAAGAGCACTAAAATTAATGGGTCCTGTAAATTTGGGTTGTAGGGAGCATAATATGTTTTCTTTTCCTAGCCATAGTTTCAGAAATCTTTTAAGCATACCTGAACCTCTGTCTGGAGGAGGTTGAACAATAACGTGCATGGTTGTAACTCCCCCTGGGATACCATATATTGGGCTCCTGCATTCTGCCAATGTCTTATTGTTCTCCAATATCTTTCCTGCGCTTATTATCTTGAGATCTTTTACTGTCCTTGGACCATTCTCCTTCTCTGGTTAAATAGACAACCAGTTTAAACTTATTGATAATGCCTAATTGATTTCCCAAGTATAGAAAGCAACAAGAAAAATAATAAATTAATTAATCCACAATGGAATTATAGTACTATAAATAAGAATTAATTGAGAGAAAGACAACAGTTACAATATTAAACAATAGTAATTCGAACTTTTGAGTTCTGCCATGTTGAGCTTGTCTTACATAGCCAATTCCAAGCCGGGATGAAGGAGGGTTATGCCAGGTTGGCAGCCAGCCTTAGAACTTTTTGCCACCCTTATGAAGTTATGAGCATGGTTCCTGAAGAATGGTGGAACAAGATTCATATAGCTGACCCCATATAGTTGGAACAAGGCTTTAGTTGAGTTGAAACACATGAACTTATTTTGAGAGTATTGCTTTAATCTCGTCTTGATGTAATTAGTCTGTTCAAGTGTATCTTTTACTACTACCTATTACAGCCAGGTCCTGGTCTTACCTATGTACAAACAATGAACTTAATCATCTCACTGGGGATTTTCTATGCTCCTTATTTCGGAAGCTAGTGTTGTAGAATAAGACTGAATGGGAACCTTCATGTGAGGCTCCTCAACAAAAGTTGCAAGGGGCCCTTGTTTAACCATGGATTCACCGGTTCCCTTCAGGAAACATCGAAATAGAACACCCTTCAATGACACATCTAATGAGATAAACGTACTGATCCTGTGTCATTTGCACAACCATCCTGTGCAGAAGCAACATCCAGAAGCATCTATCACAAATTTTAGGAAAGTCACTGTAGAAACTTCCTAGCAAAGGAGGATGCCCGTAGATGACTAGAACCACCAGATTGATTGACTACAACTCTCAATTAGTTCCTGTTCCTTATCCTGAATTGATTTGTAAGATAATTCTACTATAAAAGAAAAGATATGGTGTAAGAAATTTCGATGCTCAAGGACTTCTGAAGAAGGCAGAAACTAGAGAGGGAGGGGGGCATTTGTGGATAAGTGAATTGACAGAGAAGATCATTGGAACTGTTCTGATAAAGATCATTTCTAAAAGACTTGTAGCAGAAGAACTACAGATCAAGTACTGAATGTGTACGGCGAGAAAACCATTCAAGTAGATTTTCCATAGAGACCCATGTTAATTAAAGAGATTAAATACACCATCCTAATTGTTGCCTTATGAAAACATGGAAAACCAGTCAACTTGATAACAAAAATCCATGACCACTGCATAGATTAAATTTTAATAAATGGTTCGGGATTAGACCCAAATTAAAGAGGCTTCAAAAAATAAATAAATAAAGAGAAAACTCGTCTACCATGCGTTCCCTACAAAGCCATGTCCAACATAAATGAAAGAGAGAAGTCAAACAGAGAACCAACCTTTAGGCCATTGGGCAATGATGCTTTCCTTCAAGGTGGCAACGTTAGTAGCAGCCGGATAACTTTTAGGGCCGATATCTGACCCGTCGATCAATCGGAACTTGATCTCTATCTGATCCTGCATTCCAGACATCTCTGAATGTGTCACAGTTTTTCAGAACCAAACCTCCCAAGATCCCCAACTGGGTATCCTCTAAAGGACTCAACCAAGAAGATAAGATCCTCAGCTTGAATTGGGCTTTCTGTCAAGTATGAGAGATAAAAACCTACTGAACTGAGATTTTTGAGATGGGTCTGCACAAAAATTAAAAGATAATCCGAATCTTCAGTAGGGTGTCCTGTAAGCTGAAAAATATAAAACATCGGAAAGTAAAGGTCATAATAGAAATAAAACGTGTGATATTGGAAATCTACAAAAAGAGGAAACTGCACCTAAATTATCGATGAAAAAAATCCTAAATTGGTCATAAGATATGAAAAGAAGAAGAAAAGCAACCGACGCGGATATTGATTTAAATCCTATAGAAAATATTGAATATCACAAATAGAGAGAATTAAAAAAGGAAAAGAAAATAGAAAATCCTCCCTAAAACCAAAATCAGCTCTTTTTGTAAAGCAAATTACACAACAGACCCAAAAGGATAAAACTGCGCCCGGGTCCTCTGAGAAGTGGAAAACCACTAAAATCCTCAACTGGGTTGGCGCAAAGAGGATAAAAAACCGCACCAGAAAGTGAGAAACGTTCATGGGTTTGTTTACTTGCCTCCAAAACAGATCTTATTTAATATTTATCTTTATTTTATTTTAATTCTGGTTCAGAAAGAAAAACCAACGAAACCGGTGCTTTTATCGGAGACTGCGGAGCTGAATAAAATCCCCAGAGACGAGGCGACTTCGGAGATTTCAAAGTCATCGAAATCTGTGGTCAATAAATCCATCCCCGCCATTCTATTCCAATCTCCTAAGACGATGGAAATCGACTACGAACTCCCTTCCCTAACTTCCATAGATAGAATAGTGACAGTGACAGCTTCTCAGCCTTCCTACTTCCTAGTTCATACCCCTATACAGCTCACAAGAAGCTCTGGTGGTGGGCCATCTGTAACTTCTACACTATGGTATCTCACTATGTGCAGAGAAGGCTTTATGGGTCTGGGTCAAACAGAAATGTTCAGATCAGAAGGTCCCATCCTGACTCTCAACGGAGGAGATCTCACTATGTGCAGAGAATTACAATGCGTCACATGTACTGGATAGGTTTGAGTTGGGCCAGGTGGTTGGGATATCAAGAATCAAAGAACCACCCTTGTATTTGGCTTTGGAACAATTGGCCACCAAAGCCTGCATAATGCAACGACACATGCTAATCTATCGGTGGTAATAAACTAATAATTCAACTAAAAAAGTCATCAAATTGGTTTAGAACTAATAAAATAAATCACTAAAAGAATGTTAAATGTGCCAAAAGGGTTCAACCAAAGCAATCAAGGTGCAATTTTACCTTCTTATCAGGCGTATTAGTGGCAATCATTCTTTCTAGAATGAGGGCAATTTAGTCTTTTAACTGCCTAGGCTAGACATGAAGAACCTAACCATGTGGGGTAGGGAATTTATTTAGGATAACTGAATTTGTAAGTGTTTTCTTGTCCTTATCAGCTTAGCAAATTCTATTAGCAAGAAGAATCTCTTGTTTTGAATATCTTCTTTTTTTTTGAAAAAAAAAAGAAGAAAATCCACTTTATTCTATTTACTTGGTCTGGTTTTCTTCTTTGGTAGGTTAATTCGTCCTTGTTGATTGATGTGTAATGAAAAGGAACCTGTTGTCTTGGTCCAATTATTTGTTGCACACGCAAGTTCTGGTTTAGCACATCCAAATTTTAGTATTTTACCAGGTGGGTTATGGATTTGATCTGGAGAGATGAAATCATGAGAACTCCAACTGTTTGTTGTTGGGTCGAGCCCAGATATCTTCTTCAGGCTGTGGTTGGATCGAGCTCAAAACCATACGAGTAAAGCGGTGGAGATTTGTAAGATTCACAAACAAGCCCCCTCTTGCAAGCATACGAGTAAAGCGGTTTAACTCTTTGGAGCCTCTACACATTGTAACAAGAGGAGCTACCAAAAGAGGATAGACAAGAACTTCTGAGATTTGATAGATGATATATTCAGATTTCATCTGCAGCTCCATATCATTGTGTTCTTTCCTTGTTTAATTTTGTTTGGTTAGAATTTGCATATTCAGTAAAGGGTATGGATTGATGTTGAGAGTTCACCTTCATTCATATTGCACTGGCTTGAATATGAATGTGAATTAAAGCGACTCGTAACTGCACTTGCTTTACACATCTAGCTGCAGGCAGCATTTGACAGATCAAGGAATTACTTGGTTTTAAACCATGGCCGTCTTGATTGGCGGAGTAACATACAGCTAGATTCAGCCAGCCAAAAACTTCATTAGGAGGAAGAATTCAAGCTAGTAGATTGTGGCCTTTAGTCCCACTCGAGCAGAAAGAACAAATCTGACTGATTTTACTGACATGAGTCGGCACTAGTTTATGGCCACCCAGTTCCAGTTCTTCACAGTTGGGTCTTCGCATTTTAACCTTGGTGTACAATGTTAAAGTCATGTCTGCCGGTGTCTAGAGAGAGAGAGAGAGAGAGAGAGAGAGAGAGAAAAGGAATAATCTGCATATTTTTAATATTATCATGAATCCAGACTAACAAATACCCTAATAAAAGCTCTCAGTCTAATAAGATCGGTAAAACATCAATCAACATGACCCACTTCATAAGAATAAAAAAATGATGCAGAGAGAACAAAAGAGAAAAAGAAATCTGCATGTTTTCAATATTATCATGGATCCAGAATAACAAATACCCTAAGAAAAGCTCTCAAATCTGATAAGATACGTAAGATCTCCATGACACACTTTATAAGAATCGAGAAATGATGCAGAAAGGACAAAAGAGAAAAAAGAATAATCTGCACATTTTCAATATTATCATGGATCCAGAGTAACAAATACCCTAAGAATAGTTCTCCAATCTAATGAGATCCGTAACACAGCAATCTCCATGACCCACTTTATAAGAATCAAAATGATGAATACAACCAAAAAAAATAGGGGGCTCGGCCAAGATTAAAAAAAAAGGGAAAAAAGTAATTGATGAAAAAAAGGATATCCAAGAGTGGCTTACAAAGGAACCAGTTCAAGGCTTCCCATTTCTTTTATATATTTGTATATATAATTGGCATCCAAGTTCACATTTCTGAGTGTGCCATTACCCTTATTCTGCATTGCCTGCACCCAGCACTCTTCCAGCCAAGAGACAAGGTAACGTCAAATATCCCTTGGGAAGACAAAATTGAAGATTGCCCTTCTTTAACCAAACAAATAAAGCATGGATTACTATGTTACAGATGGAAAGAATGTTTCTCATGCCCACCAGTAATGAAGGTCCTCGTCTCTAACAGTGGAGGGATGACAGAGTATCTGAATCCAACAGCATTGCCTGCATGACCAAATTTCTTGTTTTCTTAAATGAATGTCATGAAAATTTTGAGCGGCAAATCTAATGGGAACCCATCCCAATTAAATCTTTCTGTCTCTCTCTCTCTCTCTCTCTCTCTCTGTTTCTTGCTCTTCCATTTATCTACTATGACTCCAAGATGTGGCAGTTCCTTACAAAATCATTGGAGTAATTGACATACTTGGTCCAAAATGGCCGGAGCTGCTCAAAACCAATCTCTAGCCATGGCTTGGACTGACCATTGTAGTGGATAACTGCAGCTTTCTTCACACTTTCAATGTCAGTGTTATTCTGGTAACCCAAACCAAGCATGTGCCAGGAAGGATCAATTGGGTGAACATGGTCTTTGAATGCAATAAGAGCAGGTGGTAGTGTCCCAAGCTTCCACATTGTCAAGTTTGACTTCAGATTCTACACCAGGCCAAAAAACCAGCAATAAGAAATAGAACTTTCAAGCAGACACAGTTATAGTTGAATCTAGGTGTTTGAATTAATGACCTATGTATAAAACAATGGAAGTTGAAAACTAGGGAGAATGAAGCCAACTAATGAACTATGCCTCTACAGAACAGTGGTTGAACCGTTGAAGTTGACCAATTTCCAATTTCCCACATTTTCTAAATGGGAGGTCTTACGACCCTACCTATTGTACCACTTACATGGCAGCACACAATGTGCTGGGCTCCTGTATGTCTTACAACTAGGACATAAGTAACCAGATATCCATGAAAAGCATGTTCTCCTATCCTTGTGAAGTAAGAAAAAAAAACCAGCGATGATGATAATGATGATAACAATAGAACTTGTCCTTTACCTCTTTCAACCAGGAATGATATGTCTCTCTGATATTTGTCTTCCTCCATGCACGCAGATCAAAGATGTTCATCCCATATGCCCATGCACATTCATCAGGGTCCAAGTTCTTTGCTATGAGAGGATGAGAAAAATTGAAGTAGTTCTTGAAACGTTTGGACATTACCCAATCATCTTCACCTTTACAGGTTTCTACAGCCCCATTAACCTTGCCCTCTAAGTCAATCTCCCACAGTGCTGACAGGTCACGCTGAATTACAACATCATCATCTAAAAAGACTACCTTGTCAAGGTTTGGGAAAAGCTGTTCATAATACACAACAAAGTAATCAGCAAGAACACAATCAGAAATATCTATACAAGAAAAACAAAAAAATACAAGGTAAAATATTCTAGGGAATCCTAAGGTCTATAAAAAACATTACAAGCATTGACAACAGGAACTAAGAAACACTTGCATCCCAAATATTTGGCGATGACCCCTCCACATAATAGAGGGAAAAATGATGAACACACACCCCAAAAAGGAACAAAACCCACATAGCAAGAACAGCAACTCACAAATCAATCTTATCCTCTTTAGACAGAAAGACATTGGATCAGCCTGACCTTTCCTTCTAGTTATTGCTCACACATCCAACTTCTATAATCTTTTCTCTTAAAGTTTGTCGCATTTTCCATTGGGTATCATTTTTTTGCAGGAAAACATTAGAAAGTAATTTTTCTTATATCCATCATCAATAAAACTCTTTAATCATTGTTATTGTGCAAATAGAGTTAGAAACGAAGTACTTTCCAGGATTTTACAATGTTCCCAGTTTTTGGTTTGACAGAACTTAGAATTTTTGGAAACATTTAACTTGAGAGAACTTGAGAGCAACTTCTTGAACTTTTAATAGGGCATTGTTTTCCAAAAGGCAGAAACGAGTAGGAAGACAGGGGGTTCCTAGTGCTCTTATAACTCTCTCTTCTCTATTAGTGCGATATTTTGAACAGTGGGTCTCACCCAGTTGGGTCTTTTGATTGATTTGATCCACTTGGAAGAAATGGTGGCTGAACATTTGTTAATAAAAATCTCTATTTTGTCCAAGTTCTTTAGTCGATCATAGTCTTCTACTATTTTCTAAAATGATCACAAACAATAAGAAAGTAATCCAAGAAATAAATTTCTACAAGAATTTATGACGACAAAATTTTTTCTAGAACTAAAAAAAAAATCAACAAAACAAGCAAAGCCTTGGGAATATAAATATAAGGAGGCTTCTGACAGTCCAAATAAAAGAAAATGGATTTAGAGGCACAGTTATAATCATTATTTGAATTTTGAAAAGCTGTGCTCACATTTAACATTTTTTCCTTTCTTTCTTTCCCTTTTTCACAGGGTGCATCTTCCAATATAAATAAACCGGATGAAAATAAATAATTGCTTTGATGTTTCCTGTAGCAAAACGAAGAATGCAGAGACAATTCAGGAAACATATCCAGATCGCTTCAAGGGAACAAGTCAGAGAGAATTAAAAATATTCACACTTATGCAGTAAGCAAGTAATGTAGAAAACATTTTTTGGTCTTTTTTATCCTTTTTGTGGCTTCATTTCTTTCTTTTTTTGATTATTCCAAATCATATACATATTCCCAAGAAATTTTCAAACTCATTATCACTTCAAACGAAGTTCTTCTAGACTCAAGAATCTTAAAATTCAAATCTCAACATGCAAAAGAATAAAAAAGGATCTGATTTTACATCCAGTTACCTCTGGGAGATAAATGCGGAGATGGTTAAGTAATGAAATGTACTTCGGACTTCTCGACTGCAATTTTGAAGCAAATATCCGTGGAGTAGTCTCACTAAGATTGGCTCCAACATTATGGTTCCCATGGTAGTACTTTCTGATCCCATAGTGGCTCTCTATGGCTTCTAGTACAGGTACATTCTCTCTTGTTAACCAGTCAAATTGATGAACACCTCTGACCTCAACAATTGCTGGAGGGAGAGGGTTCAGTGCAAACCATGAGTGCATACCCGCATATGTCTTTTTATCAGTGATAACATGGAAGACTATTTTCTCAGGTTTTTGAGAGGACTGAACAGTAGAAGTGACCACAACAGAAGCTGCCAGGATGTTATCAGATGCCAATATGAAATGATGGTAAGAGTTGTCAGAGAGCAAAGGGAGAAACTCTGGGGATGGCAACTGTCTGCGTGCATGCGCATTGGAGGAGTACTCATCAGTCAAGCGCAGAGAGAGACAATGGATGCCTTTTGGAATAGCACTAGCTGCAAAATGCTTGTTTATCAGTTCCGCAAACTTGGATGCCTTGGCCTCCCTATCAAATTTCTCCATCTGCATAATGAATTTCTTCAGTTGAAACAAGTAGACATGCATGTATCAAAGAAGCACCATGCAAAAAGAAAATCACCATGTCCTATCTATACCGGAAGCATTTCAGAAAAATATACTACTGGTATTTTGGAGGACTAATGGTGCCAAAATTGTAAGGAAAGAAAGGGAAAAAGGAAGGGAAGAATGAACGAAAGGAACGAAAGGAAAGAAGAAAAGGAGAGCAAGGCACAAAAACAGGGTTCTGCATAGTATCCATGCATCAAAAGGTCAAAGCAAGTGACCAACCCATACCACCTCAGTTTTTAGTTTTCCCATATGTTACCGTTGAGTGGAAGTTGACAAAAGAGGGAAGGAGAAACATAACCTCTAATATGATGAATGCAACAGTAACATATTGCTGTACCATCATTTATCAAGAAAAAAAAAATATTGCTGTACCATTTTAACAGATTCTAACATTATTTAATAGGGGGTGTAGAAGGCCTATGCTTGGCTACATTAACGATCAGTTTTGAGTAAAGTAATGAAAAATGACTACTAGAGTCCAAAGAATGTAGTGGAAAAAATGCATACGCTGAGATAGATGAATGAAAAAATAGAAACGACAGGACCAGAAATGAAATCACTCAAAGGAACCTAGGGGTAGCTCCAATAGGTGATTAAATGAGAGAAAGTAGACTAAAATGGTTAGGTCATGTGCACAGAAGACCTTCAACAGTACCCATAAGAAGTGATCTGTTGCAAGTTGGAGGGGCTAGAAGGGCTAGGAGTAGACCAAAAAGGACAATGCTCAAAGTAGTAAGAAATCATTTAAGTGCCCATACTTTAACATTGGATATGGGCCATGTGGCATTAAACAGAACGGTATGGCAAAACAGGATTCAATTCACCAACCCCAAATAGTTGGGATAAGGCTTGGATGATGATGATGACCATGATAAATGGATGAATGAAAACTGACTAGAGAGCTACAATTTAACCATAGATAGACGTAGATAGAGTGGAAAAACAAAATGGGATTCTTGTGAACTGACAGCCCCATGTAGTTCGGACAAGGTTTTTGTTGTTGTCGTTGCAGCAGCTGATGTTCAATTATCAGATTATCGACTCTTTTAGAGCACATTACAGCTTTTGGAACAGGAAAAAATGACTAAAAACTAGTGGAGAAGTTGGACTGAAAATAAGGATGACTAATTCCAAATGCATAATGGATCACTTCCAAACACTTTCCAATGTACTAGTAAGAATTGCCTTTAACAAAAGTGGATAAATTTGGACCTAAAAAAGTTGTTCAAATTTGTTATCATTTACACATAAGTTGAAACAAAGATAAGACAAGCAAAAAAGTCTCAGATTGACAAAATTGAACAAATGATCAGTCAAGATAATGCTGCTAACAGAATGAGCACATTTAAGATTATTGTGACTCATCTATAGAGATTAGACATGGCAAAAAGTTGACCCAATCTGAAACCCGACCCAACCCAACCCGAAAAAACAGGGTTAGGGTCTCATATTTAGCTACCTGAATTTGAGAATGATCTGACCTGACCCAACCCGGAAAAACTGGGTCGGGTTGGGTCATGGGTCCACCCGCTAATGGGACTATTTATTTATTGTTAGAAGTTTCCATTTTTTATCTTTACTTTTTATCGTTTACTCATTGAATTGTCGAGTGTTCAAGTTTTTTATTTTATGTTTGGAATTTTAAGGTTAATTCCTTCAATTTTGGCATTTAGAGGTGTAAAACAGGCTGTGCCACCCTCCCCAGGGATAATTTGGGGGCTCAGCTCGGCACGGACCATGGCCCAAGCCCGTGCCACGCCATGCTGTGGGCCTGGGCCAGGTGGGCTGAAGGCCGTGTTGTGGGCCAAACCAGGCCAGACTGGTTTTATTTTTTATTTTTTTATTTCTTTGCTAAGTAAAACTAAAATATTTAACTTTCCTTTGGGAACTATTTGAAAAAATAAGAAATCTAACAAAGAAATGAAAAAAAATACTTGACCAAATAAGAAGTCAAAGAGACAAAGACTCAAAGTGAATAACAAATTGGAAGAAAAATAGGAATTTTATTTCATTTAAATTTGAATGATACAAAGCATACAATGGTTGGATGAATGAAATATAAAAATTGGAAAATAGAATAAATTAATAAAATATAAAAATACAATATAGTTATAAATTGAAAATAAAAGATTACGTTATTAAAAAATATCAAATAAATTAAATAAAATTAAAACAAAATGTACAATAATTTGAAAAAAATGCTATACAACTATACAAAAAATATTGACTTCATCATTCTCTTTCATTGTTCTTGACTTTGATCATTGTAGGAATTGAAAATGGTGGAGGATAGGGCTTTTTATAGGAATTGTTGAATTGGTGTGATGAGAATGGTGGAGAATAGGGCTATTTGTAGGAGTATTTTGGTCATTTTTTCGTTGTTGGGAGGGGTATTTTGGTCATTGTAAAGTTATTTATCACTTTACCCAAAATGCCCCCCAAACTAGCTGTTATATAGCTGTTGGGGGGGTATTTCTGTAAAAAAACCTAACAAAAACTGAAATAGCCGTTGGGGACCCCCCAACGTCTAGTTCAACGGGCAGGCCGAGCGTGGCCCGCGTGCCGTGCCAGACCATGACAGGTCGGGCCGTGACTGTGCGTGTCGTGCCGGTCCGTGGACTTGGAACCCCAGGCCCAGCACGGCCCGGACCACCTGTATTGGCATTTTCATGTATTTTTCTTTATTTTAAGGGATGACCTGAATTGACCCGTGGGTTAACCCAAACGTTTAGTATCAGGGTCTAGCATTTGCCAACCCAACTCAAAATTCAACCCGACTCGAAATCAACCCAAAGTGTCTTAACCCAACCTGAACCCGATCCATCCAACCCAATTGCCAGGTCTAATAGAGATCCAAAAAAACTCCAACTTGATCGGTTTCACCTAAAGAAGGGTGATTTTCCACCCTCACTGCTATGTTAGATACCATCAGAGTACAGACACCAATTCATTGGCATCAGACACAACATCGTAATCTATTAAGATGCTAGAATTTTGAAACTCTGGAGCTCCTGATACCACATTAATTTTATGGTCTCACTTCAGACTGGTTGGCCCTCAACGGAAAATTCTTAAAAAGTTAAAAATATAGTGGTTTTCATAAAGTAAAATCCTAGATCCCAAGTAAAAGAACATGTTGATAATTCATGAACATTGTCCAAATTAATATTTATGATAACTTACAGGAAGTGTTACTGAATGATCGATACAACTCTTAGGACTTCTAATTGAAACCAGAAACCATTATGATTATGACTGCACTTGTGAACGTGTAGATGGAGTGTAGCCTTATAGATCAGTTGAAAAGGAAAAATGGAGTGTCAGATTACTTTTTGGATCATGCTTACAAGGAAGTTTATACTTTTAATTTTTCTCATTTTTTTAAATGATGGTATAGTATTATTTTTTATTCTGACGGAATTCCCGGGTAGCCATTCATGTGTAGTTCTCCTTCCTGGGTGGTTTCAGAAGGTACTTCTCTTTTTGTATAGCCTTTCTCAGGGATCCTCTCCCTCTTTTTAATACAAATATATATCTTTCAAAAAGAACAATTAAAATAATAGATTGACAACATACCATTGCCTTTAGCTTGATAGCAAATGTCTTGGCATCATATTGGTTGTTCTTCATTTCAGAAACAAGTTGGCTAAAAGATTCTGGAAGCTCGAGGTTAGGTGGTATTTCCTCAGAATTCACTTGGTTTAGTACCTTGTATAAATCTCTAACCAGCCTCTGCATATGACCACCCAATATGAACAATGTCACCAAAAGTTTCCAGACCATTAAGTCAGTCATTTTAAACTTTACCATAAGATATAGTGTGTACATTTTTAATATTATTAAAAGAAACTAAAAGTGCATAACAAGAAATAGATACTTACAATTGAATCATCAGCCCTACCAAGAAATCTGGGTCCCAATCTCCTGCCCAAACAATCTGAAGCAGAGAGACATAAAAATAGTGTATCGATTGTGTAATCAAAAGAAAAAATAGACAGTTAATTGAAGTACTGAAAATGTATGCAGTAAGATGATTAAAAGAAGAAAAAGTTTGATGCAGTCTACTCCCTAAGAGTATCTCTTCCTCCTTTTAATTCTATTCAAGTTTTCATAATACCTGTCAAAATGATAATAGCTAGTAGAAAATCAATCTTAACTAGGGAGTTTCAAAAGACCAATAACAGCCCACACCCACCAAATGAAAAGAAGGGAAATAGATATAGGATGAAGGAAAACTATAAAATTATAATAGAAATTAATAATCCCGCAATGCCAATTGAATCAGGGACCAAGAAAATAGTAAACAAAATTGAGCATACTAATGTTTGAATTTTCATCCGTATTATCTCAGTATTGAGGGTAAGCCAGTTCAAGAGGTAACATATGAATATGAATGACTAGAACAAGATTCAAACCCTACTTTCTAGTCATGTGATGGGTTGTAAACCTTGACAAATTTCCAAAAAAATAGTGAATGGGACTGATAAAGAAACCCAACAATCAAATTAAAATTGCAAAACAAAGTTCATGAGATCAAACACCAATCACAAAAAAGAAATGCAGAAAAGGACTATGACTCCAAAAGTGAGCCATCAAATGGAGAATGTCAGTCCCACATGTGAAGCAATTCAATAGAACTGAAAAATCCAGAAAAAGGGGGAAAATAATAACCTAACCGTGGAATATAATCAATAGCCACACGTAAAAAGGTTTGTAGCCCAAATCAAATGTAGATATAAAATATAGAAGATAACAAATCCATATTCAAATTCAACCAAAGCACCTCAAAAAAATGAAATAAAAACAAAATCAACATCACGAGACCCTCTGAAAGATCCATAAGTCTACCAGATTCCCAACAACCCAATTAACTAAAAGATCTTAATTTCAAATCCAACTCATCCGAAGAAACTTACCAAAAGAGCCAATAATGTTTTTCCAATGGTACTGAAGCCAAATTGAACCCAATTTAAATTTCAAAATAATCTCAATTTCAATCAAATCAAAAACCAAGAATATGCGAAATGATCCTAGTGTGGCCATTACCTGATCTTCGAACAAACCAAACAATTACTGGCCTCAAAACAAGAACTACTAATGGGGAAAAATATGAAATGCAAATTACAAGGAGATAACTGACTCATTCAACTGAATTATTGGAATATTAGCAGAGCTAGATAAAACCAAAGAGAAAAACCATACGCACCAAGTGACGAACACTTATTGACACCTTCGAGGGTGACAAGTGCTGTGAGAATAAAGACGAAAGGCAGCAAGAAAGCAAGGATGAGGACCGTATGGAAGAGCGTCCGATAAGAGATGTGGCGAGCTGCGACCTTGATCTTCATGAAGTCAAGGAACCCATTGGTGCTGGAGATCGTGATGCTTTTCATGCTAGGCGAGAAATGAAGCTGCATCGTCGTCTCTGTCGCCTCCCCGTCGTCAGGGCAACGAGAACCCTATAAACCCAGCTCAGATATTCCCCCAAAAATGCAGCGTAAACCACCATCAGATCCACTGAGACGAGAACAAAATCAACAAAGATGGCGAAAGATATTGAGATCTCTTCTGGGTATTCCTCAAATTGGGTGTCCCGGGTCTTTTCGAATCCGGCATTTGAGATTACAGATGGGTTTCGATCGATTTCAGTTAAAGGGACGAATATCGATTGACAGATAATAACTGGGTTCTTCTTTCTCTCCCATGGAGAAACCGGAGCAGCGAGAGAAGAAGGAAAAACAGAGGGACGGGCTCTATTTCGTTCTACTTTGTTTTTCTTTTGTTTTGAGAACTTTTTGATCGCTGTTCAGTCGGTCGGACCTTATTTTTGCTGTATTTTTATGAATTTTGTTATTATCACCCATCATTTTTTTTTTCCACATTTCTGACTTCTCTTTCAGCTAAAATTAAAAAATAAAGAAATTAAAGAAATCAAAGAAATTAAATGAAATTATTGAATTTTTTAATTAGTAATTTATTACTATATTTTTGAGTCAAAACTCAAAAGCGTGCATCCTGTATCGGGGGTGTGTCCTTGGGAACAGAGAGAGAAGGGGGTGAGGTGGAGTTAACTTAGGGAATTGTGGGACTGTTTGACCTATGATTGGTTTAGGCACAAAGGAGGTGAAAGAGGTGAAAGTCTACTAAATTTAGATAACTCCTAGATGGTTGGGGATAGAGAGGAATCATGTGGATGTGATTTGCTTTTACCTAATTATAGCTTTTATTACCATGTTATATTATTCTTTATGAGTCTGTGACTTTGGGTCATAGATGGGAAAAAGGTTTTTTTGATGAAGAAGTTCAGCTTTTAAAATGGAAGTGATCATCTGGGTCTGACCCATATAAATTTAGGGGGGTGGGGGTGGGGAGGTTTATTTTAAAGAGTAGCCTCCTCAAGCCGAAATTAGCCTAATGGTTAATTTAGGTTAAAATATCTGAGTAGCTTTTCTTTTCTTAATTTTTGGGTAATTAAATATGAGGGTAGGTTAGTTGATTGGAATATACCCACATGTATATAATTTTAGGCTTTTAGCTAAGGAAACAATTAATAGAGAGAGGTGGTTATCAACAGTTAAAAATTAAGCTTCATTTGAACATTATTTTGGGGTATAATATTTCCTCTCTGGGTTTAAAAAATTTATGCAGACAGATTCTTTGTAAATTAAATTGTAATGAAAAGGGAAAGAACTTAGTAAGATTGTCATGTAGAGGCTGTAGCTGAAGCCACAGTAGGAAATGTATTGACAATAACTTCTCAGGTGGGGTAGTTTGCTAGAAAAATTTAAGAATGGGACCAGGTTTTATTGGGGTCACCATGATCAGAACTTATGAAGCGGTCCCAACTATTGGACAGCATCAATTTTGTTGAGCCTGCCTTTTCTAGTAAACAGTCTGACTGCATTTCTTCTTGAATAAGAAATAAAAGGATGTGTTAGCTTTAGTAAACTGCATGCATGGCTTCACAGATGGCCTTCTGCAAAGAGCTGTGGACCGGAGATGGTAAAAGGTGGGTTAAAGTTGTAGATCGGTAGTTAGTACCAAATTTGCAAACAACATTGGTAAATGGTGTTGTCAGCTCGAGACATTTGGCATTTTTGCACCTAAAATATATGGAAATCCAGTGCTAGCTACCCATGAAGCCAGTTTGTCTGTAAGAGAGAATTGTCACATAGATTTGTATTGTGAATACAAGTCAAACTACTTGGCCAAAAACAAAATTGAATAAAATAAACAGTCAAGCTTGCAACATTGGGAGAAGCTGTAAGCTGTGGTGGAGATTGTCTACTGTCATAGTCCTGAAAAGCAGATAGAAATAAACAGTCTGTGGACTGCCAAAAGTCTTCATTTTCCGTTACCAATGGATGGTATCCTGTTATTTTCAAGCTTTAATTTTCTTTCAATCTTATTCTAATAATATTTAACAAGTCAATTCTAAAGAATCGACATTTAAAAATGAAGTATTGAAAAGTAGAATAGGAAAAACATCCACCCAATAATTAACTGCCTGTACAATCTGAACAGAAAGCAAAAGCAAATCCTTCCAAAAGAAATAAAGCGAAAAAACAAAGTATCATTAACTTATGGTAAAGAACTACGTTGATGGTAAAATCCATCTTTCCAACTCTTAGACCCAACATTACTACGCTTATTTGGTTGTCATTCAAAGCTGATTTTATAGGGTAACTATCTGGATTCATTATGTGCTCAATGTCCAGAAGATGCTAGCTCTACCGGCCGGTGGTATTGGAAAGTTTTTTTTCTTCTTTGATTATTTCCATATGTTCAATTGTGAAAACATAGAACCAGCTTTTTCCTTCCTTTTTTTGCCACCTGGCAGAGGCCATTGGGCCCAAATTTGGTTGCTCCAACTAGCCCCATTAAAGCGTGGATCACTTTTGGGCCGCACCACAGGTCCACAGCTGCAACATAAAGGCTCCCCAGACCTCAGTCATGGTTTGATCTTTCCAAACGATTCCTCTAACAAATCCATGCCTTTTCATTCAGTTGAAATTGGAGTGGCACAACAGAAAGTGTACCAACACGTTACTAACATCATCTGTGTCCACACATTTTATCAGAGTTCGGCCTCCATCAGGGCAATGCCCGTTCGAGCAGCCTTTACGGCCTTGCATTGGGAATATTTCTCTACTCATGTGCTTTATTTCATGGGGAGATATTCCCAATGCAAAGTTGCAAGAGACTGTTGAGACGGTGTGAATGCGGGCTTGCCCTGACCCCGAAGCCGATCTCATTTTACCATGAGAGTAGGACCTACCATGACTGCCATGTGTGGATTGTTGGAACATTTTTTGTTATGAATACATCGGGCTTAGTTGAAATTCGGGGTAACGTCCTTTTTAAAATATTATATATATTATTTGATTTAAAAGTCAAATGGGTGAAGAAAAATTAAAAAAAAAAGAAAGGCATATAATACGAGTCTGGATCTTCTGCCCACGTCTATCCACATAACATCATAGTCACACAGGATTATCTCATCTTCCTATATAGCATTATGCACGGGGAGATATTCCCAATACACAGACATAATGTGTTGTGGATAGATATGGGTAGAGTTTATGTGAGTAGGAGATCCGAGGTAATATAATACAAGCCTTCTTAGGAATGCGACATAATTTGGGTTGTATTTAGTAGGACAGTAGGAGGCTAATCGCTTTCAAATTGGTTTAGAAGATTTATCTTGAAAAGAGAAATGAAGTAGTGTTATTATGTTTTCATTCCATTCAAGGTTTTGTCTAAGGGGATTGATCAGTTGTTTGGTTTGATTTGGTTTTGGCCTGGCGATGTGGTTGCTTTCTAAGCAACATAGATGACCAAATGCCCAAGACAGGTGACAAATTTGTTTTTCTTTGTTATAATTAGGGAAGGGTTGATGCCTTGGGCAGTTAAATCCAACCCCAATCCAATATATCTATTTATTTTTACATATTTATTTATTATATTATATAAACATGTATATGTATGTGCATTAATAATTTTACATTTTAAACTTTGAGATTTTCTAGTTAAGCATAAATATAATACTCCTAAAGCATATAACTTTGCCCCATATATAGTTAATCAGATACATCGAAAACTGAGAAGCAAAAACATCTTTTATAGAAAAAAAAAGAGTGAATAAATTTACCAATCCAAACCCATCTAATCGTTGTCTTCAGTTTGGATTAGGGTTAGGGGTAGGCGTTTAACAGCCTGCTTGGATTAAGGTTGACATTAACCTAACTAGCCCAGATTGAGATCTGCACCCTAATTACATTTGTACTTTAGGTTTGGATAAAAAATGAAAAAAGGGATAGAAATATCCAACAAAACCACCTCCTCCCTGCAAAGTAAAAGACCCATTTTTAGGTTAGCACCAAGGTTGCATTTGGTTACATGTAGGATAAAAGAACAAATTGATCTCATTGGAAAATGCTATTTAGGTTATGTTTGTTAAGAAAATTATTTCTTTGAAAAATGAGATTCAATAAATAGAGATATAATAGTGTCGTAAGATAAGAATCAATCGAACCGGCTTCTCTTTGAAAAAGATAGAACTATCATAAGATCATCTGCTTGCTCTTTTTCCTTCATTTTACTTGCAACCATATGGAGCTTCAATAGGACAATGTATAAAGACCATTACCCATTTTGGTCCCAGCTACCTGAGGTCTTGGGAGGGGTAGAGTGTGCATACAGTCCAATCTTTATATCATGGTTTTAAAAATCGGACCGGATCAGATGCTTGTACCAATTGACCCGAAACCAGTCACTGGTCTAGATCCAGTTTTAGACCTCAAAAACCGTTTATCCTGTTGGGTTTGCACCAGACAGTCAGACCGTTTGATCCGAGAATCGATGGCCAAAATGATTTCATTTTTGGTCTAGTTTTGAAAACCACGCTTTATATTTTTTCACGAAGTGGCTCCTCTCATACTAAAACCTGCATTTTCAAGCTTGTCAGCTCAAGATTTTATTGTTACACCAGGTAATGGCCCATTTAATACAGGGCCATTTACTAAAATACCCCCTATAGTTTCATTAATTTATTAAAACCTATCATATAGTTTCTATTTTATTAAATCATCCCCTACCATTTGCAGTCAATTTACTTAATCGACCTTTCATTAAATGAAAAGAGAAAATGACAGTTTTAACCCTAATATCCATTCAAATAAATTTAATTGAAAGAAACTAAAAACAAAAGTATTATTTTTGTTCCTAATAAAATACGGATAACCATTATTTTTCTCTATTTGGTCAATTTTATTTTCCATACAAAAGTGTTAGAAGTACTTTTGGAATAAACAACCATGGGTTCCTGCCCTTGAACATTTTCCAATTAATTTAGGTGATCATATTACTATTTTCAAATGGCAAAATAAATAGTTCTTAATGAAAGGTCGATTAAGTAAATATGTTGCAAACTATAAGGGGTATTTTAGTAAAATGCAAATTATAGGGTAGGTTTAAGTAAATCTGTGAAACTATAGAGGGCATTCTAGGAAATGACCCTTTAATATAAAAATGTATCATTTTCCTAAATTTGGAATGGTTCAAAAATAGATAATTGTCGTGTCATTGCAATTGAGTTGAAAATTCACATTTTAGAAAATTAAAAGGGATGCCATTTTCCTATTTTACTATTTACTTTGGAGAATATTTATTTTCCATGTCCATTTTACCTGCACCCAAACATCATAAAATAACAATTTTAACAAAATTGTTTGTTTTCCACTTTTTCCTCATCTTATGTGCAGTCAAATGGAGCCAAAATACTTGAAAAAAAAAAAAGA